TTGGCACTTCTCCCACACGGGGATGCGAGTGTCAGTTCCACAGCAAACATTCACCCTGATCCCTCCTCACCGTCTCCGCTCACTCAGACATTCAGTGGCTCCATGGCCAGCGTTTCCAGCGGGGAAGGTTCGTGGCAAAGGGCGCAGGTGAAGGGCCGGCACTGGGGTGCAATGGGTTAGGCTGCTGCTGGCAGCCCCGGCTTCCCAAACTGGAGCACCAGTTCAAGACCCAGCCACTGTGTTTGCACTCTGGCTCCCTGCTCGCTCCTGGGAACGCAGCAGAAGGCATGGCCCCAGTGCTTAAGCCACTGATGGTCACATAGCAGGCCAGAATGGAGCTCCTGACTGCTGGCTTCCACCTGGCGCAGCCTGGCTGTTGCAGCCAATTGGGGAGCAAATTAGCAAGTGGAAGCCTTCTCTCTCTCTCTCTCTCTCTTATAAATGCATAAACAAACTTGGAAGAAACAGCAGCAGATGAGAACACGTTCATGCCTCAGGCTTACTACCAGGTGGTGTTTTAAACACAGGCAGGACAGAAAAGAAGCTGTTCATACTTTAACAGCAATAAAATCACCGTGAAACATCAAATGGTACTTGGAATCTGCACGAATGTGTTTTCCTGGGGACATTTTCATCTTCCTTCTCCTAGTTCGGAGAATGCACTTTTTTTTAAGCGCTCAGCTGTGCCCTCTAGTGGCCAAAACAATTTAGACTTGGGCAGCCATGATGGACTTTGGCCAACCTGGAGAATGTGAGTGTGTCCTTTTTAGGGTTGTTCCCGTCCCCCACTTTCCTCCTTCCCCAGTGTCTCATTAACATTTATTAGTCAGTATATAAGGAGTGTCAGGCCGCCAGTGATGGTGTCTTCATCCCTACGGGGGACAGGTAAGGAAACAGGAATGAAACTGGTTATGACAAAAAGGAAAACGCAGGGCGAGTGAGGGATGGGTGCTGGCTCACAGCCAGGGCACAACGTCTCAGAGACACGGAGCAGGAGCCTGCGGTGACCCTGCTTTTCCTTGGACCGTGGAATGAACTCTAGGAAGATGGAAGCCGAAGCCGAATCCAGGAAAAGAGCATGAAAAAAACGCAGCTGTTCTCCACATGCTCTCCCCCTTGTTGTGGTGGGTTACAGCCCGGGAGCCATACAAAAATGAATTAAGAACATCGCCACCGGCTTTGGAGGAAACACAGCAAGGCAGAGCAGCAGGGCCTGGCTGGAGGCCGTCTGGCTGCACCATCCACAGATAGAAAAGGTAAAGGTTAGAAATGGTACAGTGGGTTAAGCTGCTGCCTGTAACATCAGCATCCTATATGGGTGCACCAGCTCGAGCCCTGGCTGCTCTGCCCTAAAACACCTGGGAAGGTTGCAGAGGAAGGCCCAGTGCTGGGCCCCTTGCCATCCACGGGGGAGACCAGGATGGAGTTCCTGGCTCCTAAGTGAAACCTGGCTCAGCCCATGGCTATTGCGGGCATTTGGGCAGTGAACCACCAGAGGGAAGATTTCTCTATCCTTCTATCTCTTTCTGTGACACTTCAAGTAATTAAACCGCTAAATACGTGCCTTGACAATGACCTTAAGCAAAAGACTCAAATGAGTTTTGCGAGGCCTGAGGAAAAAAACTAAGTGTGGCCAGCAGGGGGCGACTGGAGCTCAGCACGGGCAGGCAGTGGCCGTCTGTCCTCCCATGCCGTCTCGCCAGAGAGCTGAATGAGGCAGTGTGCCAGACCAAAGGGCTGGCTTCTACTTGGGCATTTTGTGACACCAGAAATAGAAGGGGTAGAGTCAGGAGACATGGGAACTAACTTCTCACGGCGCAAGCGTGTTCCATCACTCCCGCCCTGTTGAATATTTTGATCACATCTTGTATATTATAGAGAGCGTGTTCGATGCACCTCTGAATAGCAGTGTTTAAAAGACAGGGCAAGTCCATGGAATTCCAGAATTGGTCTGCAAATACTTCTCTTTTTTGAGATTGATTTTTATTTATTTGAAAGGCAGAGTTACAGAGAGGAAAAGTCAGAGATAGGAACCATCCAACTGCAGCTTCACTCCCCAGGTGGCTGCAATGGCTGGCGCTGGGCCAGGCTGACGCCAGGAGCCTGAAACCTTATCCATCTCCCATGGAAGGCAGGGTTCCAAGGACTTGGGTCATCTTCCACTGCTCTCCCAGGCACATTAGCAGGGAACTAGATCAGAAGCAGAATAGCCAGGGCTTGAACCAGTGCTCATAGGGGGTGCCAGCAGTTCAGGAGGCCGCTTAACCTACTACACCACAAGGCTGTCCCTGCACACCCTGCTTGACAGATGGAATAGCTTTGAGGCAGATGAAGCAAGTCTTTCTCTCTACCCAGACTTCCTGTTTTGTGGGTTTTACCCAAGGTTTCCCTCTGTTTTCTCCCCTATTTTCCCACAACCTCTTCCGAGGTCTGGAGAAGCGTCGTTTCCACTTCAGCTTCAAGTTTCTCTCCCTCCACCTCCTGGGAATTGGTCCTCCCTAGTGCTGGAGGTGGGGTGCTCGTGGCTTCCTGACCCCGCCTCGCTCAAACCATCCAGACCCACCACTGCCTGGGATGCCCACGTCCCGTGAGTGCCCAGTCGGACTCCCATCTCCACATCTGTTTCCTCCTCATGCAGTCCCTGGGAGGATGAACGTCCAAGCACTTGGATCCCTGCCACCCGTGGAGGAGCCCTGGACTGAGTCCCAGGCTCCTGGTGTCGGCCTGGCCCAACCCTGGCTATTGTGGACATCCAGGAAGTGAACCATTAAATGGAAGATCAAGGCCTTTCAAATAAAGCGAATACACAGAGAGGGGCATTTGGCTCAGCAGCTAAGAAACTAAGACCCTGCTCCGGACACCTGCCTCCTGTCTCAAAGTGCCTGAGTTCAAGTTCTGGCTTCTCTTTCAATTCCATCTTCCTGCAGATGTGCAGCCAGGAGGCAGCAGTGATGACTCAGGTACCTGGGCCCTGCCACGCGCGTGGGAGACCACATGGGTTGCATCCCGGGCTCCTGGCTTCCTGGCCCAGTGCTGGCTGTTGCCAGCCATTGGTGAGAGAACCAGCAGAAGGAAAGATATCTCTCTGTCTGTCTCTCTGAGTTTCAAATAAATAAGTTTACCATACCCCCAATTTTTTTTTTTTCATTTGTACTCTTCCTCCTCCATCTTCTCAAACTCTTAGGAAGGATTTCTTTTCAATATTTTCTATCAGAGCCCAGAATGCAAGGCACTGTCAGGCCCAGGAAGCAGGACTGGGCAGAAAACCCAGGAAGCAGACCTCTCCACCACCTCGCCTTGCCCAGCCTCCACCTGGGGCCACCAGGAGAAAGGGGTGTGACCAGGGACAAGGCAGCGTCTGTCTGTACCACAGGCACCTGCAGGAACCGGCAGGAACTGGCAGGAGCTGGCTGCAGGTGGCTGTCCTGTGGCTGAGTCCCAAGTCTGTCCCCACAGGGATTCAGATGGTGCCCTTCCCTCTGCAACACACTCTGCTAACTTCATTTTCCTCCCCAGCTTGTGAGTCTGCCAACGTTGTCTGGCCTCATCCCCTCATTCCCTCTCCCCCTGTACCGTGGGCACTTGCTTGTTCTTACCTTATGGCAGAAACTGTGGCCCTCATCTCCCTTTTTCTCCCTGCTTTCCAGCCTTCTCAGTAACCTGTGTCCTCCTGGTGGTACGTGGATGTTGGGAAGCCTTCCCCAGCCCATCCTCCTCTTCCTCCACACCCCCCAGGGTGATCTCAGCCACAGTCCAGGTTTCAATTCCCATTTATACGACCACTCTGGGCTCCACTCTCCAGCCCACCTTGTCTCTTGAGCCTCCAGGTCTCTCATCTGCTTGGAGGCTGTCACCTCTTCGCCAAGCCTGGCAACCCTCTCTTCTCCACCCTGAAGGAGGCCTGTGCAGGGCCTGTGCAGGGCCAAGGGGCCCTTGGGACCTGCTCCATTGAGTTCCTTTTCTGGGCAACTAACCTTGCTCACTCCTGTTTGGGCATGTGGATGAGCAATGTCAAGGGCTCCGGAGATGGAATCCCACGCCATGGATACAGAAATAGATGCCAGTGCTGAGGCCAAAGAGCCATGCCCATGACTTACCTCACCAGGTGTGAATTTGTGATTCAGCAGGGCGGGAGGGGATGACTTTGTGTTCCTCCTGAGGGTAAAAGCCCCTGACAATGTGGGTTTTTTCTTTTTAAATTTTATTTATTTTTATTGGAAAAGTTGAATTACAAAGAAAGAGAGAAAGATCTTCCATTTGCTGGTTCACTATCCAAATGGTTACAACAGCTGGAGCTGAGCTGACTCAAAGCCAGGAGCCTGGAGCTTCTTCCAAGTCTCCCATGTGGGTGCAGGTCCCAAGACTTTGGGCCGTCCTCCACTCTTTTCCCAGGCCAGAAGCAGAGAGCTGGATGGGAAGTAGAGCAGTTGACACACAAAATGGTGCCCACATGGTATCCAGCACTTGCAAGGGGGAAGATTAACCAACTGAGCCATTGCCCCAGGCCCAAGCAGGTGGGTTTTATTTCCAGCTCTCCACAGCAGTCATGGCTCCCTGACAGTTACCTGGCATAAACGGAGCATGCTGCTTGGTGCACAACCCTTCTGTCCTCCCAAATCGGGGAATAAGAATCAAACAAGAGCCACATTCCCCCAGGACAGGACCAGGTGCCAGACGTCCCTGTCCTGAGGAACCTGAGGGCTGGTGGCAGAGCTGAGTCCCAAGTCTGCAAGGGCCACAAAGACCATGGCAGCAGCAGAGTGTCACAGGGTCCAGCACGGGGAGGAGCATCTCTGCTCCTGCCGGGTCCTTCCAGTGTCATGGGCTAAACCTAAAGGAAAGCTCAGATCAAAGGGAGTGAGCACAAACAAGGCACACGGATGACACATGACCCACACGCGAGGGAATAGCAAATGGCAAAAGGCTGTCAGAAGACCACAGAATCAGTCAATAACAAGGAGATAGTTTCACATTCAGGGACAAATACTGAAAGTGTGGAACTGTCCTGGGAGGTGAGAGAGAGCCAAAATTCTGGGAAAGTGTACTCAGGTGGCCTCAGCACCAGCCTGGACAGGGAAAGGCCAACTGCCTGCCCCCTGTTCCTTGCCCATGCCCCAGGTGGGTGGCAGTGGCACCTGGAGGAGGCTGTTCTGTGTAAGAAAGAGCCCACTGAGGACCTGAATCTGTCCCCCTGGTCTGGGGACCACGGTCTCTAACCCACGTGGGTCCCTCCATCGCGGAATCCAGTGGTGACTAAGAACACACGAGTCATTGGCACCAAATGCAGGACCCAAGAGTCACAAAAACAGGAATGTTCTGGGCCTGCTGGATTTGCAGAGTGAAGCTTGTGGCAAATCTGCCCAGCCGGCCTCAGCAGGAGAGATGGGGCTGGCTGGGAGCAGGGAGGGAACTCCATGCTTGCTACCACCCACCAGGCCATCTTAGCTTACAGGAGAGAACCCTGGAGCCCAGAGACTCCCTGTGGCTGAGCCTGGCATCCCAGAGGCCTTGGCAGGGTCTGAGAGTGCCAGACACCTTGCACATCTTTGTGAATTTTGCGTCTGGGTGTTATGTAGGGAGACCCGCTATGAGGCCAAAACAGATCCGACACCATTTTTCCAGCCCTAAACAAAATGACACACAAGTTGTGCTAGTTAAGTTTGTGTTTGGTTTTCTAGGATCAAAAACCCAATGCAATGGCCTAGCGAGGCATAAGTGTACTTTTCTTGCACATCTGGAAGAGTTAGGGGTGTGGTGGGGGAGGCAGGGGGCATCAAGTGTAGTTAGTTCTGCTGCAGCCTGGGACACCGGCATCCCCTGTGAACACAGACTTCAAGTCACACCTGCTCCACTTCCAGTCCAGCTCCCTGCCTCCCTTGAAGGCAGCAGATGATCCAAGCACAAGCGTCCCTGCCACCCATGTGGAGACCCAGACGGAGTTCCAGGCTGCTGGCTTTTGCCTGGCTCAGTCGTGGCCATTGCAGCCATTTGAGGAATAAACTAGCACATGGAAGCTCTCTCTCTCCTTCTCTCTCTGTCCATGTCTCCCTCTCGTTGTACCTGTTACTTTCAAAGCGTAAATAAATCTTTAAAAAGCAGCAGCCTGGGGCTGGTGGTACAGGGCTGGCCCAGCTGCCTGACACCCTCCCCAGACCCTGTCTCCTGCAGAATGTCTCACATTAGTCTCTATGTGTCGAGGGTAGCTGCTCCACAACCAGGCATCACATCCACAGCCTAGCCAGAAAGCAAAAGGGAGGAGTGGAAGGGGTGGACGAGTGTTCTGACTCAGCCATATGATTTTTTTTTTTTTGGAAGACTTATTCTTATGTATTTGAAAGGCAGTTTTGGCTCTGGCACTGTAGCCTAGCAGCTAAAGTCCCCACCTTGCACATGCCAGGATCCCATATGAGTGCTGGTTCATATCCAAATAGCCCTGCTTCCCATCAGCTTCCTGACTGTGGCCTGGGAAAGCAGTCGAGGACGGCCCAAAGCTTTGGAACCCTGCACCCACATGGGAGACTTGGAAGAAGCTCCAGGCTCCTGGCTTCGGATCAGCTCAGCTCCAGTCATTGCAGCTGCTTGGGGAGTGAATCATCAGATAAAGATCTTCCTGTCTGTCTGTCTCTCTCTGTATATCTGACTTTAAATAAGTAAGTATTTAAAAAAAAAAAAAGGTAGAGTGACACATGTTGGTAGTAGGTCGCCCAGCACCTGGACCATCTTCTGCTGTTTCCACAGGCGCATCATCAGATCACAGCTGGGACAGGAGCTGGACCCCATGTGGAATGCCAGTGCAGTTGGTGGGGCTTAACTGCCTTAACTCCCACAGTGCAGGCGGCTATTAATTTTTTTAAAGGTTTATTTTATTTGTATTGGAAAGGCAGATTTACAGAGGGAAGGAGAGACAGAGGAAAAGATCTTCTATCCACTGGTTCACCTCTAAATGCCACAACGGCCAGAGCTGAGCTGATCCAAAGCCAGGAGCCAGTAGCTTCTTCCATGTCTCCCATGGGGGTGAAGGTTCCCCAGGACTTGAACTATTCTTCTTTCCCAGGCCACAAGCAAAGAATTGGATGGGTAGTGGAGCAGCTGGGACATGAACTGGTACCCGTGTAGGATCAGTGTTTGTAAGGGGAGGATTAGCCAATTGAGCCATTGTGCCAGGCAGGCCCTTGATTTTTTTTTTTTTTTAAGATTTATTTATGTATTTGAAAAGCAGAGTTGTAGAAAAAGAAACAAAGAAACACAGAGGAAGATCTTCTATCTGCTGGTTCACTCCCGCACAAATGGCCATGTTAGAGTCCAGGCTAAAGCCCCCGGACGTCAGGGTGCAAGCTGGTCAACCCCCAGAGAGCGGCAAAGAGTCTCACTGGTAATGCAAACAGCAAACTGAGTTTATTGCACCAGCATGCTGGGGTCAGACTGCACTTGGGGCACGCAGGCCAGCCAAGCAGCAGATGGACCTCGAACTAGCCCAAGACAGAAGATTATATAGGCCCTTTTGGGCTGAGAAATACATGAAAAGTAACAACTTTAGACATGTTAATTTTTATGGCCTTTAAGCACAGGCACTCTGTTCCGTTCCCATACCCATTACCTATATGGCTCATCCCATTCTCACACCCTTATCTTCCTCCTGTTCCTGGGACAGGAGAAGAATTGCGCCTCCCTCTGCCCTCCTGCCACAAGGTTGCAGGGCCGCAAGGAACAGATTTATCGCTAAAGCAGAATCCTCCCAGAGTCCAGGCGCCTCCTGGCGTAGCAAAGTAGCAGTTTTCTCAGCACAAAGAAACCCAACAAAAATACTCCATTCTAGCATTCTATCATATTCTAACATAGCATTCTATTATTCTAACATTTTATCCACACTGTAACATCTACAACAGCTAGGGGTGGAAGCCAGGAACCAGGAGTTTCTTACGGGTCTCCCATGTGAGAGTTAATGTACTTCTTTCCCAACTACATTAACAGGTAACTAGATCAGAAATGGACAACCGGAACTTGAACTGGTGTCCATAAGGGATGTTAATGCTGCAGGTAGCAGCTTAACTGGGGCTGGAGGGTAGAGGTGCTGAGTAAGGACCTGGAGAGCGACTGAGGAGGAGGTAGTCCCAGGCATGCCCCCATCTAAGGAGCAGGCACCTGCAGGGATGCACGAGGCACACGGGGAAAGCCTGGGTTGTGTCCCTTGTTCTGGCAGCCCATGCCTGGAATCCATCCTCACCCACTGGTGAACCGTGTTCAACAGAGGTGTGTCCTGGGGACGCGGGGGCTCTGATGAGTGATCAGGAAGAGGCAAAGTGGGCAGATTCAGTACCACAGCCTCTTTGCCTAGAGTCCCCCTCCTTCAGACCTGTGTTACAATGGCAGCTTCAAGATGTCACTGGACTCAACAGCTAACTTAGCCTGCTTAACCAACTCTCTATGGTCATAACTGAATCAACATTTTAAGGTGAGTTTAATGATTTCCTAATTTCTGAAGACTAGAGACTGTGACCCCCACAGATGAGACACCAGAAAACTCATCTCACTTGGGTGCCACCATCAGAAGTCATCTGCCTCTAAAACATGAGGGATGTGTATTGTGGCGCTGCAGGCTACACTGCCACTTGGGACTCCTTAAGCCCATATCAGAGAGCCTATTTCAAGTGTGCTTACTTTACTTCAGATCCAACTTCTGGCTAGTGAGTCTGGGAGGCAACAGATGATAGTTCAAGCATTTAGGCCACTGTCACCCATGTAGGAGACCAGGACAGAGTTCCAGGTTCCTGCAGTCAGCCTGGCATATCCCTGGCCATTGTAGTCATTTGGAGAGGGAGCTATCAGATGAAAAACATATCTCTCTCTCTCTTTCTCTCTCTAACTCTGCCTTTCAAATAAAATCTTGAAAGAATCAGAGAGAGGGACCAGCTCAGTAGCTCAACTGGCTAATCTGGCTAATCCTCCACTTCCAAGCACAGCGTCACACAGGGGTACCAGTTTGTATCCCGGCAGCTCCACTCCCCATCCAGCTCCCTGCTTGTGGCCTGGGAAATCAGCAGAGGACGGCCCAAAGCCTTGGGACCCTGCCCCCACATGGGAGACCCAGAAGAAACTCCTGGCTTTGGATTAGTTCAGCTCTGGCCATTTTGGGGAGTGAACCAGTGGATGGAAGATCTTTCTCTCTGTCTCCTGCTACTTGTATATCTGTCTTTCCAATAAAAATAAGTAAAGCTTTAAAAAAAAAGATAAAGAAAGGAGGGAAGAAAGAAACAAAGAAACAAAGAAACAAAGAAAGGTAGATAGATCAGGAGCTCTTGATTCTCCATTTGAAATACGTTTACCTCTGGGGACAGTAGCCTTGGGAGAAAAGCAAAGGGCACACAGTTTTTGTCTCTTCCTTTCCCTGAGATCATGGGCACAGCTTCCTGCAGACACGCACACACACAGTTGGGAAGCTGCGTGATGGACTTGAAGCCACTGCGTGGGTAGGAATAGTGAAATCCCAAAATAGCACAGCTGGCAGCTTCAAGGGGCTTTTTTACTACTCACAGTTCCTGGAATTCTGGGTGATTACATCTTGGAAAGCCAGCAAATAAACAGCAAGCATGAAATTAAGGAATCAGAGTTGGGGAAGCTCAGGGAAGTAGATGTTACTCTTAGGCTGTGAGGAGAGGACAGCAGGACCAGGGGGCCACACACACCCCCCGCCCCCACCTTGTGACTCGGGGCCTGGGAACCTTAGGAATCTCAGGCACCCAGGTGCCTGGCACTTCTTCAGTGGAATTTCCCCAGTTTGTTGTAGTTGGCAAAGTTATAAGCTTGAAAAAAAAAAAAAATGGCTTTCCCTTAACCTTCCGTGCAGGTAGGAGTGCCTGTGTGGGTTTCCGCACATGCAATGTCATGCTGACTCACCTCAATGAGATTTCCAGAAAAGTGCTTCCCTGGCATTGACTCAACCAACCCCTTGGGCCTGTGACTCCGCCCACTTGCTCCTGCCAGGGGCACAAAGCTGAGGGCTGAGCACCAGTCATCCATTCACACCTTCTACAGACACCTGCCAAGTATTGGTTTCAGGTCTGGGGAGTTAGCAGGAAAAAAAAATGATAAAAACAAATTTTTAAAATTTTCAGGCATTAAGGAGCTTGTAGTATGGTGAGGGGAGATAAATTATAAACAAAGGGGCTCCGCGCGATACCCCAGTGGCTAAAGTCCTCGCCTTGCGTGTACCAGCATCCCATATGGACGCTGGTTCTCATCCCGGCGGTCCCATTTTCCATCCAGCTCCCGGCTTGTGGCCTGGGAAAGCAGTCAAGGATGGCCCAAAGTCTTGGGTTCTTGCACCCATGTGGGAGACCTGGAAGAATCTCCAGGCTCCTGGCTTTGGATCAGCTCAGCTCCAGCTGCTGCAGCCGCTTGGGGAGTGAATCAACAAACAGAAGCTCTTCCTCTCTGTCTTTCCTCCTCTCTGTATATCTGACTTTGCAATAAAAACAAATAAAACTTTTTTTAAAAAAATTAAGAAATCATAAACAAAGGTATGGGGCCAGTATGTGGCACTGCAAATTAACCCACCACTTATAACATCAGCATTCAAAATCAAAGCACCTGTGTGAATTCCAGCTGCTCCCCCTCTGATCCAGCTTCCTGCTGATGTTGCAGGAAAGCAGTAGATAATGACTCAAGTGCTTAGATCCCTGTCACCCATATGGGAGATCCTGATGGAGATCCAGGCTCCTGGCTTCAGCCCAAACCAGTCCCAGCTTCTCTAACCTCTCTCTCTCTCTCTCTCTCTCTCTCTCTCTGTCACTTTGCTTTTCAAATAAATAAAATAAATATTTTTTATAAAACATGGTAACTGTTAGGGCAAGAAATGAAACAGGAAATGAGACACTCGGTGCAAGGTGGAGTGAGCCAGGAGCACAGTGGCTCAGCAGCTGGGTTGAGTGGCAAGGGGAGGCAGCCGGGCTTTGCTGCAGCTGGGTGCAGTGAGACACAGACCCAGGGCTGATGACAATGATTGGGCATTTACTCACTGCTCACCAGAATCAGGAAGTAGCCACCTGATGTCCCGTGCTCAGCTGGGAGGCAGAGGGAACAGGTGTCAGTAGGTGAGAGCAGGTGAGAGTGGCTCCTGCTGCAGGCAGGGACAGGTAAGGCAGGGCAAGCAGGTTCATGATTGAATCATTATAGCTGGCTTGAGGAGGTTGGGGATTTTCTCGGGATGTCCAAGACGAGGTTACAGTGGCCACAAGAACAGAGCTTAACAGAGAAGGATGGCAGAGGCAGATATGAGCTGCAGACTGGTTGGCTTGTAGGTGGCAGCCCAGGAAGGGACTCCTCTTCCACTGTCAGCGAGACCCCAAAGTCAAAGCCGCAGAATAGAGACGCTAGGAAATGTGGTTATCACACTGGCTTCCTGCCTGTTCTCGGGGCTCTTAGGCTGTTGGAACCTCTGTCCCCACTTCTAGATTTACTTTAACCTCTCCCATTTGCTTATGCCACCGTCCTTCAGGTTTGCCTTAGTAGCAGTGAATACTGTCCCTCACTGATAGCGACCTTGAAACAAGATTCTTTAACATGGCCATGGCCTCCTCGCCATTTGTCAGCTCTTATTCATGCAAATGCATTGTTAGGCACAGGAAAGGAACAGCAAGACAAGCAGTGGGTTCTCGAGAGACTAGCTGCTCTCATCTGTGCACACACACACATACTCACACACAGTACACCCACTCACACACACATGCACTCACTCGCACACATGTCACGTACATATAACTCACGCAGTCACACACATGCACCCAGTCATGCAAGCACATGCATCCACTCGCACACATGTCACACACATGTACCCACTCACACAATACACATATCACATACCACTGCAAAAAAAAAGATCATTTCCTCCTGCAATTGATTCATGGATTCCTTTTTAATTGTTGCATCATTCTTGGAAAGTAATGTAATCATGGTAATTAGCATTCCCATCACCTCAATCATTTATCATTGCTGTGTGTGGGAAACTTTTTAAAAAATCCCCTCTTGTCATTCTTTTGAAACACATAAATTGAGTCTTCACGGGCTTTTCCTGAAGATTGAAGACCGGAACTGTCTCAGAAGTGGTCCTGAAGTTATGGAATCTTCTAGCAACATGTTGAGTACTAACTTCACAAGAACAAAAATAGGGAGGAGGATGTGTGGGGACAGAGGGATGGGAGGGGGACCTAAGGCTCAGCTACCGGCAAGGCAAAGCGAGAAAATCAGCAAGAAAACGAGTTGAACAACAACCCACACCCCATGCCCACTCCACCGACTGTTACCAATTATTAGTAAAGAATTTTGGCCTTGCGATGTTAGCCACATTTTTTAAAAGCTAGAAATCTGGAATTTTATAGAAAATCACTAATTCTTAAGTTGGAGATTGAGGGTAGGCATTATGGCTCAGTAACTGAAGCCACTGCTTGGGATGCCAGAATGTTGCATCAAAGGGCCAGGAATACAGCCCCACCCCGCCTTCCAATTCGGCTTCCTGCTTGTGCATCCTGGGAGGCAGCAGCTGAGGGCTCAATGCTGGGTCCCTGTCACCCACAAGGGGAGCCCCACATAGATGTCCAGGCTCCAGGCTTCAGCCTGGCCCCACCCTGACTATTGTAGGCGCTTGCGGAGTCCAGCGGTGGATGGGAAGATGGATTTCTCTATCTCCGCAATTCCTTCTCTCTCTGTAACTTTGCTGTTAAATAAAAATAATAAGAAGGCTGTCGGGGCCCAACTGAAAATGTGCAGATCTGGAGTATCCAGGATGACGTGCTTGGAAAGTTGCAAACAGGAGCTGGGTCTAGATTCTGACCCCATCCCACTGTGCTGTCTGAAAACCAAATGGAATGAGACAAGTAAGACAGAATTATCTCAGGAAACAAAACAGAACCATTGTCACCCACATGTGACCACTTTTCTGTATTTAATTTTTAATATATTTTAAAAGATTTATTATATTTGAAAGGCAGATTTACAGAGAAAGAAGGAAATACAGAGAGTAAGGTCTTCTACTGGTCTACTCCCCAAATGGCCCCAACAGCCAGAGCTGAGCTAATCCAAAGCTAGGAGCCAGGAACATCTTCCAGGTCTCCCATGTGAATGCAGGGGAGCCCAAAGACTTAAGCCATCCCTTACTGCTTTTCTAGACCATAAACGGAGAAGTGGACCAGAAGTGAGGCAGCCGGGACATGAATTGGCACTCCTGTTGGATACCGGTTATGGACAAAGAATTAACCTGATACATCATAATAGTTCAGGCCCCTTCCAGCCACATGCCCAGCACTTGCCTACAGGCTCCACCACTTGCCCCCAGCACTTGGCTCTCTTTCTCCCAGGCCTCCTCCCTCCTTTCTCGTGCAGTCACCCAAAAACTTGCAACAGGGACCCAACACAAGGATAAGCAACAGCATCCCAGAGCACCTTTCTGGCCACAGATCGTAATACTGACAGCTGGTGGGCTCCACTGCCCACCTCTGAGCTAAGCAGACCTGAGAAGCATCGGGGGTGATGGCCAAGGGTGGTCTTCAGATGGGAGAACGAAGGGAAATAAGGTCTACTGTGAACCTTGCATTCTGGAAGCAGCCTACTCAGGGATGTTGAGTCTGAGTTCAATGCCATAAACAAATCCTACTGTTGCCCTTAGCTTGAGCTTCTCCCTCATGGAAATAGCAACCTCCGCCCACGAACGGGTCAACAGTGGATGACTGAGTGTGAAGCGCTTGTTCAGCCCTGGCACCTGGCTGTGGGAAAATATTCCAGGGGAAGGAGCAGGCATGGCAGATTGGGATCTGCTGGCAGCTGCATGAGGTGAGCATCCAGGAGGACAGGCTCCCATCTCAGCCTACTCCTCCTTCCCTGACCCAGCCTTCTCCGGTCTTTCATAATGTGGGAGTCAAAAGCAGGGGTGGAAGGAAAACAGGAAGCAGGAAACGCTCACATCATCAGCAGAGGCAGCTCCAGAACACGCCAACATCAGCCTACACCTGCCACTTCTCCTCCCCGATCCCATGGGGCACCATAGGCAGTCCGAACACCTGCAGGAAGTCCAGCTGGAATCACTTGCTAGGCAGGCCTGCAGCACACTCTGTCCAGGCCCTGAAACCCACCCCCTACTTTGAACTCCCAGAAAACTGTCTGCAGAAGTCACATGTCCAGGAAGGGGAAAGAAGCAATGGGATGGGACCTAAAGACCGCAGCTGAGCAGCTGGGAATGGTGATGCTCGTCCAGGTTAGTCCAAGCCAAGCAAGCCATAAGAGGAAGAGTCCAGCTGAAGGGATAGGTCAGGGAGAGGAACTGATAATACCAAATTTGAGCTGTCACATAAAAAAAATATAAAAGTTACCACACAGTGTCTGGTGCAGTCACCTAGCGGCTAAGGTCCTCACTTTGCACGTGCCAGGATCCCACATGGGCACTGATTCTAATCCTGGAAGCCCCGTTTCCCTTCCAGCTCCCTGCTTGTGATCTGGGAAGGCAGTCGAGGATAGCCCAAAAGCCTTGGAACCCTGTACCCACATGGGAGACCCAGAAGAGGCTCCTGACTCCTGGTTTCAGATCAGCGCAGCTCCGGCCATTGCTACTTGGGGAGTGAATCAACAGACAGAAGATCTTCCTCTCTATCTCTTCTCTCTGTATATCTGACTTCACAATAAAAATAAAATCTTTTTAAAAAGAGTTATCACACAGAATCTTAAAAAAAAAAAAAAACCCACACAGTATTAGGAGCAAACAAGTGACTTCTACAATTAGAGAAGGGAAGAGGCTTTCACAACTGTTGTTAACTGTATGACCGCATTGGCGGGGAGCGGGACAATTAATAAATCTGACTACATCAAAATAAGAAACGCTATGCTTTTTTTTAGTGTGTGTGTGTGTGTGTTTTTTTTTTTTAATTGAAAAAGCAGATTTACAAAAAAGAGAGACAGAGAGAAAGATCTTCCATCTGCTGGTTCACTTCCTAAGTAGCCAAAATGGCCAGAGCTGAACTGATCCAAAGCCAAGAGCTGCTTTGGATCTTCCACGCAGGTGCAGGGTCCCAAGGCTTTAGGCCATCTTCTGCTTCTTTCCCACACCATCAGCAGGGAACTGGAAGGGAAGTGGAGCAGCCGGGATCTAAACAGGTACCTGTATGGAATCCTGGCACATATAAGGAAAGGACATTAGGCACTAAGCTATTGTGCCAGGCCCTATTTTAAAGAAAAAAATTACTATGAGCAAAGTAAAATGACAGATGGCAAACTTACCATGGACAGATGGCTAACATCCTTAATAGACAGCATATCTACAAATGGAGGTAAAGAACCTGTTTAATTTAAAAATTGGACAAGGAATATAAACCGCTTACAGAAAGAAAATCAGAATGTAAAGGAACTCACAACACATGAACAGATGTTTAGCCTAGCTTCTACTTAAAAAAAGAAAAAAAAGGAAACATCAAAACTGTACAAAAGGAACATTTAACTATCAGATTGGCGAAAGTCCCAAAACTTGTCAGCACACTTTGCTGGCAAAGCTGCAGGGGAACAGGCACTCTTGTACACTGTTGGAGAGGATGCAGGGTGAGGCAACCGCTGTGGAGGGGAATTAGACTGGCAACTGCTAGCAGGGTTAAATGTGTGCTTCCTCTTTGAGCCTGCAAACCACTTCCAAGAATCCAGTTCGGAAAAAAAGTCACTGGCGAAGTGGAAACTTATTCGCATAGGTTATTTACCGCAGCCCCTAGGCAAAATCAAATACCAGAAAGGACCCAAATGTCTAATAACAGGAAGTTGACTGAACTTGAATATTAAGTATTACAAAGCATTAAAAAAAAGGTGGGGGGGGGAGATAAAGAAAATGTTGTAGCACAATGGGTTAAGCCACAGCTTGAGAAATCTACATCCTGTATCAGAATGCCTACTTAGTCTCTGCTCCTCCACACCTCATGCTGCTAGCCTACCTGGAAGGCCACAGCTGACGGTGATGTGGCCTTGGTCCTCCCTTGGTCCTTGCTACCTACATGAGAGACCAGGAGGGAATTTCAAGCCCCAGCTGTCACAGAATCAGAGCATGGAAGCATCCTCCTCTGCCCCTTCTGCTTTTCAAATAACATAGCATTTCTTTACATTATTATTATTATTATTATTATTATTATATTTTGATGATCTTTACATAGTTCATTAGGGCACAAAGGGTCAAGGGCTACAGGAAAGTAGATAAGACCATTGTTTCCACATTCTGTTTTTTCCTTCTTAAAGATATCATTTCTTCAAAAGTAAGAAAAATCATTAAAAAGATTTAAGGAATATCTCAGAAGAGGGTTAAGATATTCTTGAGGCCAGCAAGGTGGCATAGCAAGCTAAGCTTCCACCTGTGGCATCAACATCTCACATGGGCACTGAGTCCTGTCTCAGCTGCTCTACTTCTAATCCAGCTACCAGTTTATGGCCTGGTAAAGCAATGGAGGATGGCTCAAGTCCTTGGGTCCCTAAACCCACTTGGGAAATCGGGAAGAGGCTTATGGCTCCCAGTTATGACTCTTGCAGCCCTTTGGGGAGTGAACCAGTGGATGGAAGGCGTGTGTGTGTGTGTGTGTGTGTGTGTGTGTGTGTGTGTGTGTGTTGTGTGTGTCCTTCTCTCTGCCTTCCAAATGAAAAATAAACTAAGTCTTAAAAAACTTGCTAAATATTGGTCAGTCTGAGGACTGCTGAGAGGAACAATCGCAATGACCCAAAGTATACTGAGCATGTTTAAATCTCTGATTTCATACGCTATTTTTTTAAGACTTATTTTTTTATTGCAAAGTCAGATATACAGAGAGGAGGAAAGACAGAGAAGATCTTCCGTCTGATGATTCACTCCCCAAGTGAGTGCAACAGCCAGAGCTGAGTCAATCTGAAGCCAGGAGCCAGGAGCCTCTTCTGGATCTCCCACACAGGTGCAGGGTCCCAAGGCTTTGGGCCATTCTCAACTGCTTTTCCAGGCCACAAGCAGGGAGCTGGATGGGAAGTGGGGCTGCCGGGATTAGAACCAGTGCCCATATGGGATCCCGACACGTTCAAGAAGAGGACTTTAGCCACTAGGCTATCGCACCAGGCCCTCATTCGCTATTTTGAAAATGGCCACTTTGGGTGGAATTTAGATTGTCAAGCCAGCAATTGAGAAAACGGTGGTACAGTGACTCAAACGCTAAGGCTATCTTCCCCATTGGAACCCTAACTGACCACATGGAGATTAAAGCAATTTGCCTTGCAGTCGTAGTTCATCTAGTAAAGGAACAAAGAACTGATGGGACTCGGAAAGCACCATTTTGTGACTCCTGATGAGACACCAGGCTAGTTGAGGGTCACCATTGGCTTCTGACGTCATCAAAAGAAACACCAGCAGGGAGTGTGACTTCCCATTGGACGTTCACTGCAAAAGTGAACGTTGAGCTGCAGTCTGATCAGGCTTCGGAGCGCAACTCCCAAGCAGGTCAGGGAACACAGGCATGCCTGCCGAGGGGCAATCAGCAGAGCCTAGGCTGCCATACTGTAAGACTTAAAAAAAAATGTGGTTGCTCCTACACATACATTGCAAAGGGTGGAAAGAATAGGCTAGAGAATGTACACATTAACTGTCTAACATCTGGACTTTATTTCAATCCTGATTCACAGAAACACATTTACATTGAAAATATGAGACATTTAGGGGAATAGGGGTGGAGAACAAGCCTGCAGGTCCCAGATTCCAGGCTAGATTTCCCACTGACTTGAGCCCAGGAATCTCAGCTATTTTAAGTAAAGGTTATATCAAAGGCCCAGACCACAGGGCTGCTTCTGTCTCTCTTTTTCTTTCTAAAAGGCCTTGTCCCAGCCACCTCTCCCTGCCCTTGATCCCACCAGGCTCAGCCACCACCAGGAGGGCAGCAGGAATGTGGGGCTCAGCAGCCAGAAAGAGGGGAGGCGCCAAGCCTCTGGGAGTGGTCCAGTTCTGGCCCAGATGCAGCATCACTCAGGATGTCCCCAAACTAAGCAGATGCAACTTGATGCTTCTAGTGCCAATTGGGCCTGTGATTTGGAAAGAGAGGTGGTCGGGACATTTCCCCAAATACCAGCACCCAGTGAAACTGCTGTGGTCGGTGATGCACTAAGCGCCCCTGTTTTAAATAAAGGTTAAGTTTTGCTTCCCGATCTGAGTGCTCTGAAGTCAGGAGATCCAGAAATTAGTCATTGCCCCACCAAAGCCTACAACAGCCTCCCAAACCACCTCAGCCTGCCCACATTCATTTACTTCTTTGAAAAAAAAAAGGGGGGGACAATTTTTAAAAATTTATTTATTTTATTTGAAAGTCAGAGATATAGAGAGACAGGAAGAGATCAAAAGAGAAAGATCTTCCATCCACTGACTCACTCCCCAAATAACCCCAATAACCAGAGCTGAGCAAATCCAACACTGAGAACCAGGAGCTTCTTCTAGATAGCCTACACGGGTGCAAGGTCTCAAGGCCTTGAGCCATCCTCTGCTGCTTTCCCAGGCATACCAGCAGGCAGCTGAATTGAAAATGGGGCAGCCAGGATTAGAACCAGCCTCTATCTGAATGCCTGTGCCACATGCAGAAGCTTAGCATACTACACCACATATATCAACCTCAAGAAGAGATAAGCAATACCTCACATGTCTAAGACTAGGACTCAGTGAGGTGTTCTCCTAAGCTCCTTTACTGCTCTGAGCTATCTAACATTTTGTAGGTGACTCAGACCAAGTACTCCTTGTTTCAACAAAGGAGGAACTTAAGAGAAATAGAAGGACCCAAGCAAGAGACAAACATGGGCACGTCGGGAGACCTGGACACATAAAGCCCAAGAAGCTACAGCAGAAAGCCATTAACACTCATTAAAACATGATGCTCCAAATTGGTTTTTTTAAATTGTTTTTATTTATTTTGTTATTAACTAGTAGGAAGGCAGAGAAAGATCTTCCACCTGCTAGTTCACTCCTCAAATGGCAAGAACCAGGAATTCAACTGGGGTCTCCCACATGGACAGCAGGGACCCAAGTACTTAGTCATCAACCTGCTGTCTGCCATGGTGCATGTTAACAGGAAACTAATCCGGAACAGAGTAGTTGGGACTCAAATTCAAGCATTCTTTATCATTTTTTTAAATATTGATTTATTTTTATTGGAAAGGCAGATTTACAGAAGGAGACACAGAGAGAAAGATTTCCATTGGCTGGTTCAGTGTCCAAATGGATGCAAATGTCAGAGCTAAGAAGCATAGGATTGCCCCTGAGCGTGAATTCCCCAGGAGCCTGCTGAGCTGTGACCCCCCAGCCCAGGGTTTTTCCACCTCTCTTTCACTTTCACAGTTCCCTCTGTGTGACTGGCTGACGTTGACATTTGCCTTGAGAGTGCCAGGTTTGCCAGTTGCTTTATCCTCACAGGGTTTTTCCTCTGTGTGAGTTCATTGATAAGGGACACTGGCGACCTCGGCCAGACCCAGCTCCTCCAGTACTGAACTCTCTGAGGGGTACTGATAGGTGGTCTCCAGGGCTGTGGTGGGAGGCTTGCCTGTAGACACCCACGCTCTCACTGGCAAGTTCTGAGTCCTGCTAAAGACTGATTCCTGCAAATCTTTTGCAGAAAAATTTTACCTTCCTTCTTTCCATTGATAAGGCTTTTTTTTTAAGACTTATTTTTTATTTTTATTACAAAGTCAGATATACAGAGAGAAGGAGAGATAGAGAGGAAGGTCTTCTGTCCGATGATTCACTCCCCAAGTGACTGCAATGGCCGGTGCTGTGCCGATCCTGAGCCAGGAGCCAGGAACTTCCTCCAGGTCTCCCACACAGGTGCAGAGTCCCAAGGCTTTGGGCCGTCCTCGACTGCTTTCCCAGGCCACAAGCAGGGAGCTGGATGGGAAGCAGGGCTGCCGGGATTAGAACCAGTGCCCATATGGGATCCCAGCACATTCAAGGAGAGGCCTTTAGCCACTAGGCCATGCTGCCAGGCCCAATAGGGCTTTTCTTTTTTTAAGATTTTTTTTTTTTTATTATTGGAAATGCAAGTATACAAAGGAGGAGACAGAGAGGAAGATCTTCTGTCCAATGATTCACTCCCCAAGTGACCGCAACTGCCAGAGCTGCACCAGGAGCCAGGAGCCTCTTCCAGGTCTCCCACATGGGTGCAGGGTCCCAAGTCTTTGGGCCATTCTTGACTGCTTCCCCAGGCCAAAAAGAGAGAGCTGAGTGGGAACTGAGGCTGCTGGGATTACAACCAGCACTCATATCCTGGTGCGTGCAAGGTGAGGATTTTAGCCACGAGGCTACTGCGCCAGGCGTGATAGGGCTTTTTCCTTGACTTGTTGTAGAGTGTAAAAGAGATCATCCCAGACAAGTCTAGGATGTACTAAGGTGTATCATTAACCAAGCGTGATGATGGCAGGGCCCACCAGAAATGAGCAAATGACAAGTCCACATGGCAATCTAGTCTGAATTGAAACCCTGAGAGGAACAAATGGTCATTAACGTGAAGTCCATCCATTAAACTGAAGACCTATGTCCCAGCTTCCCTTACAATATAAATTGTCCCAAGAGACAGGCAGTAAATAACCTGGACTCACTTAGAAAGCTAGACACTCACCTTTCCCTGACTTCTCTGTCCAGTTTCCATTACTGCTAGGCCTCACCTCTCCCGGAAATCTTGAAAGTACATAAATTAGAAACACAAATCATCTTTGTGTTTTTGCATCTCCACTGACTCACAGAAGCAGTGAACAGACAGTGAGGAACACACACAACAGGGGCCTTGCTCAGGAACTACCTGGCCTCAGGATCTCTGGAAAGCAGAGAGCAAGCAGGTACTGGGGAGGCCAAGAGTCAGAGTGCAAGAGCGAGGGAAGCACACAACCAAGAGAAAGATCCCTTCCATATCATGGGCCTTTATGGGGGGCTGTGAGCACAGTGGTCATGCAACAAAGCAATACTGCCCCAGTCAGGTTCCATGTGCTAGGTGAGTGTCATGTGGGCAGGAAGGACCAGGAAGGTGGGGAAGGTGTGGCTTTCAAGTTCATGACCCTGAACTAGCTGCCTAAGACCACAACAGAACAAATCCTCTGATGTCCACCAGCAAGATCTAACTTCTGGCAAATGTGGTTTGTTTTAAGGGATTTTTTTTCCCCACATTCTTTCATTGTCCTCAAAGGGCTTCTCATGTGTGACTTCTATGGTGCCTACTGATGCTTGAATTCTGGGGAAATGGTTTTCCACATTCATTTCTCCCCTCTGATGTGCAATGAAGAATACATCATCCCATTTTATTCCCTCAACAAGAGCTGGCATTGTGGCACAGTGGGGGGAAACCACCACTTGGGATCCCCCCATCCCACATCAGAGGTGATGGGTTTGAGTCTGCCCAGCCTGGGAGGTAGCAGACCATGGCCCACGTGCCTGAGTCTCTGCCTCCAATGTGGGAGACCTGGATGGAGCTCCTGGTTCCTGGCTTCAGCCTGGCCAGCCCTGGCACTTGGGGAGTGAACCAGTGGATAAAAGATCTGCCTGTCTTTCAAGTAAATTTTCAATAATAAAACAAGAAATTATATGAGAAAACTATAGGAATTTCAAAAATCCAAACATAATAATTCTAAAAGCAAGACCCCTAAGAGCTTACTAAGTAATGTTGACTCTACTTTCTCCCTCCAGGGCAATCCCTCCCTCCTCAGGAGAACATCAGATACCTAACAGTCACAGATAAGCACTGAAATGTCACAAAAGGGTACAAAAAGCTCCAAGGGACTATCCCGGTGTCACGTGGGATGGCCAAGGTCATGGCAGGGCCCAGGGCCTCAGAACACAATATGACATGGCAAGCCACCAGCCATGGTGGAACTATCTTAGTCCTGGTGTCTGAGAAGGTTTAAGCGTTGTCCCCAGTCCTTCCAAAAAACACAGCAAGATGCCTGAGCAACTATTCCTGAGTGATAGCAAAGGAATGCTGTAACACAAGCTACACTCCTTACCACTCCTGAAAGTACGGATCCTTGGGGCCAGCATGGTAGCCCAACGAGGAAAGCTGCCATCTGCCACCTGCCACGTCAGCATTCTATATTGGCACTGGTTCATGCCCCAGCTGCTCCATTTCCCATCCAGCTCCTGCTAACGTGCCTAGGATAGCATTGGAGGGTGGCCCAAGTGCTTGGGCCCCTGCCACCCACATGAGAGTCCTGGCTTTAGACTGGCATAGTCCTAGCCATTGTGGCCATCTGGAGAGTGAACCAGAGGATGGAGGATCTCTCTATCTCTCATTCTTTCTGTAACTCTGACTTTTAAATAAGTGATTTTTTTAAAAGTATGGTTCTTTACCTCTTCTACTAGTCTGTGCAGAAGTAAGCAGCATAAACCTTACTGCATCTGTGCCCGTAGCTTCCGCTGCCCCGACCGGAAACCCATGAGAAAGCTGTTCCCATTAACTTAGCCAACATGCACTGTAAAGCCGTGTGATTAACAGAGAGACTTCACTCTGCACTAACCCCTAATCACAGGATGAGTTATTTCAGTGACGCCACCCGGGGAGCCGGGCTGTGTTCCTCCCGGGTGTGGCTGGATGGCTGTGGATGACAATGGTACATGTGGCATCTGTTCATCGGACGCTTCCGCAGGCTTCCCTTGTCCACGAAGACCCCCGCCTGGGGGAAGGCGCGTCTTTGTGCAGAGGCGCAAAAGGCTGGACCAACCGGCTTCCCAGAAGCATGTGTTTCTCCGCGGGTGGTACCGTGGGCGGGCACCTGTAGGCACCAATTTTTAAAAACACTTTGTTTCTTTATGAAAACCACCCGAGAAGGAAGCCGTTGGCTGGCGTTTAGCAATAATGTCTTCAGCCAGCAACCAGTGCGAGTGCGGCCGGAAACCCGAGTGAAAGTCGGAAGAGCCGAGGTTCACATGTGATGGGGAAATGCAAACAGGAAACAGGGCGCTCAACTTAAAGCCCCGAACCCCGGAGAAGCGTTTATGTTTCATCCCACGTGGAGATCCGCTGCAGCCTCAGGCCTCCCGGACTTCTCGTCCTCTGGTCTCCGGGTCAGGCCAGGCACTCCCCTCCCCGGAGTGTGGCTGCGAGATGGGCACATGACAGCCGTCCTGGCAGTAAACACCCTCAGCCGCCTGAATAGTAACAATTTCGGGGCTTTCCAGGACCCGAGCTCTCACTGGGCAAACAAGACCGAAGGGAAGGGATGGTGAGAGCACACAGCCAGCCTATCAAAGTCCTTTGGGATATAAGGGTGGTGCACATAAATAATAATAATGGCTATAATGTTTCAGATAATATATTCCCAATGTATACATCCCGTGTAACACATAGACTGAGTTATATGTATATAAGGTCAAATTCTATTTATGTAGAATTTATAGAAAACAATAGCCCAAGAAAGGGTAACAACCACTGTTCTCAAAACACAGGGGAAGTGACTTGCCAGACCTTGCTGGGTTAGGAAAACTCATCTAGTTAATGGTGTGCATGTTGGTGCTGTGGTTCTCGCACCTGCTGTTAGAGTATTGGAAGTTTCAGGAAAGCTGTTGCCAACCTGAACTCCTGAGCTAAAGAAGGGTTAACTACACCATACACATACACACTGACACCACACCTACTCACACACACAACATATACATCATATACAACACGCACATGCACACACCTATTCACATGCATACACCCTACATACAACATACCTACTGGTACTACTCACAGTCACACACATAACACATACATCACATACCACATGCATCTACTGACATACACTCACACAACACACATACACACCACACACACACCACATATATACCACTCATCACACATACCACACCTACCTGTACACGACCATACACACACCACACACACATACACACCACATTACCACATATACCACTCAACACACACATACTAGACCTACTCACACACAACCACACACCCCATTCACTACCTATCACACACATATACATCACACACCACACCTATGCACACACAACCACATAAACACACTATATGCCACACACGCACACACACACCACACATCCTTCTTTTCCTCAGCTAGCATCCCTCAATCTTTTGATCAGGTATATTAGAGCCTACTCCATGCTGACACTATGGACAAGTCCAATATGATCCCTGCACTTTCCTTCCTGACATGCCCCACTCTTCAACTACTCCTTCAAGGTCTCTCTTCCCGTCATCCTGGAACCTCTGTGGGGATGAAATGGCCTATCCTGTTCCCAACATGGCCAGTGACCCAGGCAGCTCCTGGTCCCTCAGACAATACCTGCTATTTGGATGTGCATAAACTAGACGAGGAGGCTTTCTCAAGTTAGGTAAAGAGACCCAGTTAACATGCACTCGGTTACTGGCAGCCTGTGAGGCCAAGCCTTGCCCGGGAGAGAGCAGTACCAGCAGGTGGAAGCCTACCTTGCCAACAGGACCCATCGATCCTGCACTTCAGTCCCACAGATCTTATTATCCACAGTAGGGACTGGAGGTTTTATTTGATCACAATCAATAGCTCTTGGGTGAGCCAACAATACCTGGAACCAAAGGCCACACACCACCAGCCTCCACTTCTCACTGTGTGGGAGTCCACCCAGAGATGGTGGCTTTCCCACTGTCCCCTGTAGGGCTGGGTCACACTCCTCGGGGTAAGAAGAGAAGGTGCTGGTATCAGACTAACACAGTAAGTTGGGTCATGAGATAGAGATTCGAGTTCTGTGCCAGAGGGAAGCACCAGGGTAGGTACGAGGACTGAGCCACGTCTGCATCTGCCTGGGGGCTACAGAGCAGAGCAACCCTGGACCCATGCCTGAGTCAGGTCTCTGTTTCTCAACTTTCAGAACTTTGCTTGACCCTATGCCTTCAGGGAAGTTCTGTTTCATTGTCCCCTGTCTTTGCCGTGCTGGTGGTCTGGGCTGTGGTGGTTCACAGAAAAAAAAAAAGGCCTGTATGTTTGTTTAATTGCCTAGTCCTTCATGTCAGCATCCTACATGGGCACCAGTTCACATCCCTGCTACTCCACTTCCCATCCAGCTCCCTACTTGTGGCCCAGGAAAGCAGGAGAGAACAGCCTCAAACCTTGAAAACTTGCACCCATGTGGGAGACTTGGAAGATGCTCCTGGCTTCAGATTGGCTCTACTTTGGCCATTGCAGTCATTTGCGGAGTGAACCAGTAGGTGCAAGATCTTTGTCTCTCCTTCTTGTCTGTAAATCTACCTTTCCAATAATAATAAATAGATTTTTAGAAAAGGGAGACAGGGACCCCTCTGTGGATCCCTCATGGGAGAGCCTGGAAGGCCAGCTTGTCCAAATCCATGCCTCTTATTTGACTCTTTCCATATAGCATCTCAACCTGAGGGAAGGAAGGAGGCTGTGTTTCCAGTCCTCAAATGAGATGACCCCAAACAGCATCAGAGTGAGCGCTGGAGACTTGCTCTTAGGGGCCAGGAGTTGTTCTGGTGTGCTCAGTCCCTATAGCCATGGTAATCTAGGGACTTCCCCGGAAGAAGGTTACCACCTGCAAGCCAGAGGCTCCCACCAGCAACCCGGGCCTCTCCAAAACCCCAGGTCCAAGGACAACTGTCCTGGAGTGGGTGTTTAGTGTTTCAGTCAACGTAAGAGCACCTGCGTTCAGCTCTAGGCTTTGGTTTCTGACTCCAGCTCCCTGCTGGTGCAGTGATGGCTCTGCTGGGTCCCTGCCACCCATGTGGGAGACCTGGACTGCATTCTCAGCTCCCAGCTCTGGTCCTGCAGGCATTTGGAGAGTTGGGCAGGAGGGGAGGGGAAATCTCTCTGTCTCTTTCTGTGCATTTCACAGCCTCCTCATTGTTTCTGTTTTTGTTTTTTTGTTTTTTGTTTTTTTAGATTGTCACTTTGTTCAC